ATTAATATTTAATTAATATTTTTACCAACCCATATTATGTAAATATTGTACCTATACCCATTGTAAAATATAACTACCTACTTTATAGTTTATTGTAATTATTACTGCTTACTAAATAAGCTAGCACTTGTGTTGGAATCAATCTTTTTTGATTAGCTAATTAAATCATAATATACCATAAATATAACCATTATACTTAGGTTTAGGTACTATAATATTTTAATAGATTAACATCGGTGTCGAACACAGATTAAGAATTTGTCACACGTTCATTCACAAACTGAGCATTACATTTAAATTTTTCTGAATAGCGTTAAACAACTTTTTATACATAGGACCATAGTTAATTCTCTGTATGTGATTTAGTTGTCCTGAATGTAGAATATGACTTCCTAAATAAAATAAGTTATTATAAAATATACCATTCAATTTTCTTATAATTGGATAAGGTAACTTTGAACTCAGATTTATTTTAATAAACAAATGGTAATTAGTACCTACTGATTACTATACAGCTACCTTTTTACCTAATAATATAATGTAGAGTAATTTCAATATAAACTTCATAATTTCATAATGAAGTCATAAAATATTGATTTAAAGAATGTACAAACAATGAAAAAAAAACATCAAAAATGTTTAGTGACCTCTGCCGTGGGATTTTGTATTTGATTTTCCTAAATAATTAATGTTCTTTTTTGAAGTTGCCTATGCACCTAATCCTATATTTAAAATTGTATAATGAGTAATGACTATTATCATAAGCTATATAGGAACTTGTAACACCTTTAAAGTTTAAAGCAGTATCAGTTTGGTCAAAATATGTTTTAATTTTGTTAGTGTATTTTTTTTTTATTTAAGAAGTCATGTTTTACATTCAGGACGACTAAATGACATTTAGAGCGCAACTGATGTGTCATGTGATACCTACGATTGTTTTCCAGTTTTTTCACATAAAAGCTGGTACTGTGCATAGATAGAAATTTAACATGTGGGGGGCTCATCATAGTAAAATTTAAATATTTTCTATGATCGTGTAATCCCTACCTACCTCTGACTATGAAGGTAGGCATGTATGTATTATTTTTTACCTACTTTAATATTTGTGTAGGTACATACAACTTTTATTACATTTTAAAAGGTTGAATTAGTTTGATTTGGTTGTACCAAATTATTAAATAAACATTAATAAGTTTTCCCCTTTAATAAATGTGTAAAAATATATGCAAACCACTAGTGTTATAGTACCTATACGGCTATACAAATATAACATTTAAAAATAATAACAGGGCTTTTCAATCATCAATGAACTAGACTACCAAACTACGTGAGTGACTGAGTCTTCAGTATCTTGTACCTACCTAATTTAAATAATTATATGTGCCTAGGTAGTGCAAATATTGTTAACCTAACCAGAAATAACTTTATTAAAATATTAATATTTTTATATTTATTTTTAATAGTAGGTAGAGTTAAAAATAATAGGTAGGAAGCAATAACATTTTTAGTGTATAATAAGCTAAGAATATAAGATTATCAACTACTACTAATAATAAATAATAATTAATAATATTGGTAGTACTTAATATAGCACCACTGTAATATTGTATAGCTAGGAAATTGCAATAATTGGATATTTCCTAAATATTTCCACTTAATAAAGACACACGAGCAGGTCCCTTAATAAATTCAAGATTTTACCTTTCAACGGTTTACTTATTCGAGATTTGGCGTTCTAACGATTTTGCCATTCAATGGTTTGCATATTCAATATTTGGTCGGAATTATTTATTCAAGATTTTGCTATTCTTGCAAATATTGGTTCAAGATATCGACGATCAATGTATTAAATTTCAAGATTTTCCTATGTTCCCCATTCAGTAGGTTTAATACATTTTTCCAAAAACATTTAATTTGAAAATGTCATTATAATAATTTATATATGCGTACTTTAAAGTTTCAAGTGTAAGGAGTAAGGAGCTGCGTCGGATAAGATAATAGAAAGATGAATTCTAATCACGAAAATTATAAGGAGTTGTGAGTTGTATAATATAGGTACTTACCTATTTACTATATTATAGTAAATAGGTACATAAGATTGCATTACTATTTTCTTTTTTAAATCGGTTGAAATTTTGAATAATTTTCCAAAATATGCAAAATAAGCACAATAACGTAAAAATAAGTACTTTCCTGCAAAATGTATGAAATACCTATGCAAAAATATACACATTCAAATTTCAGATTTGGTATCACAACATTGAGAAATTAATTTATTTCGCTCTCTGCTACATTTTACAATAAATAAAAAAAGTATGCAAATGCTATAAGTCCCGAACACTGATGATAACAATATTCCTTTTCGAGACATAATAATCTTTTTAATAGAAGGCTAAAATTATGTAAATTTATTTATTTTTTCTCAACAATTAATATATAATAATTCCGCCCCCTAAATGAACCAAACAAATTGCCACCCCGGGCAACAAGGTACACATTGCCCCCCAAATACGACCCTGCATGAAACTTAACATAAAAATTATTTAGTATATAAAAGCTGCATGGATTAAGACTTAGCTATATTAAGCTTGGCATTTCTAGGTATTGTCACATTATTATTTTTATTCGTATTATCAATCAAAGTCGATCCTACGTAATCGCTAGTATCTACGAATTTAAAAATAATTTTCAACGAAATAAGAAATCGGCGTTTGCCACAAACCTTATCGCGTAATGTTGAACTATTATGTATATATATGTGTGTCAGTGTGTGTGTGTATCTAACATAATAATAAAATTTGAAAATAAAACATTATCCATTTATAATTGTTGTAGACAGAAGAGTTAAAGTCAGGATCAAATGAGAAGATCAAGAATGAGTTCGATTCAGTAGATATATTAATTCATAAGCAATTGGAGAAATATGGAGAAAAACATTTGAGAGAAACACAAACAAAATAAAGTTACAAGCCATAACCCCCCCCCCCCCCCCCCTATATTATTGTAATCAAATAACTCAAATTGTTAATTCACTTTTCCACAAGAAATGTTACTAAAGTTCAAGGACGTGCTCGCGGGTGGGTTCAAACCCCTCCCACGTACACTTTACAAATATAATATATTATGTACTTACATATTATAATAATTTATTGGGAAAAAAATCTAGTTTAGCATCCACGTGATTTTTTCAATTTTTTTTTTTTGTCTATTAATGTAGTTAAGCATGCTGAAAAAGATGAGAAAGTCTGAATTTGGCGGTCAGACTTAGTTTTAAAGTTATAGCTCATTGAAATTTTTGGTATTCTCATATATACAACCAGCGTGGTCCCTAGCTCGATGCGCTAGCTCCACGGACAATTAACATCGAAAACATCCCTCGAATGGTCATATAAAACCACTAAGGGCGACTGGCGAGTGTCAGAATTATTTTTGTTAAATAATTTTAGATTTCTAGCGGAGCGATGAATGTATTGGTTTTACAATGTTTGTTTTTTTTATATTTTTTTTGGGTCTGTGAACACGATTAGTAGTCAAAATATTGCTTTGATTTTCAATTTAAGTATCTTGTTCGATTGGAAAGTGAATCTAGTTGGTACTTTTGGGAGGTCAAAACTCAAAATGTAAAATTTACAATTAGTTTTCGAAAGGGCCGTGAAAAACAAATGAAAAATTAAAGAAAAAAACAGATTTTGATTTTTGGTGTACCTAACTATAAAATAAATAACAGTAGATAAGAGAGTAACCGAAAAATCTAAAAAGTATATAAACACATTTTACAGAAATTTTAAATTCAAATTTGGACGAAATTACATATTAAAACTAAGAATAACGATTTTATTTTTTTGTTATAATTTAAAAATATTATTTGTTGGTATATCAAGCTTTTAGAGTACCTACCTATATTGTTATATTTTATACACACGCAATGGCATTTTAAAATTTATTTTTTTGGGAAAAATGAATTTAACCAACTATAGTAAATATTACTTTATTCCTAATACTAAAATTAATTACTTTATTCACAATATAATACCACCAAAAATACACTTAGTATGGTATTATGGCCTATGGGGCATGGGCTGACTCACCGTCTCCGCTCGCAGAATCGTTTTTCTTATGCAATGATTTTAGGTACCTATATCATTATTGGATTCAAATTTAACACAATCCATTACAGTGAATCACTTGTAACCTACTGCTGTACAGCAGAGCGACATCCTCTTGACCACCTTTTCAAAACGTTTATTTACCTGGATTTTAAAAAAAAAAAAAAATTCAAATTTGTTATACCTAAGTGCTGTAAACAATAAGCGTTGTACGTATGCGCAAAACACCGAAAATCGTGAACTTCGTAAGGCTATACCATAAAAACTATGATTTGTGGCAATTCATTTTTGCACCATCGTTCTTAACTGTTTATAATACATAGGTAGGTGTGAAGTGTCTGACAAAAAAAATTAAAAATTCTCATGGGTTCTGAACTAGGTTTATAACGATAAACTAACCAAAAATTCTGTTCGAAAAAAAATGTTCAAACCAACCCCTCCCATCCAAAATTACTGAGCACGCCTCTGCTGAAGTTGAAAATCAAAGCATTATTTCAACTACACATACAGAAAATAAAAAAACGCATCATTGTAAAATCTAAAATAATGTCAAACTGAGAAAATAACTTTTCTGTTCCCCAGAAATCAGTAAATCAGAAACCATAAATTAAGTACTTATGAAGATATAAGGTACCTAATAGGTTTATAGGTATCTTAATTCGTTCAATAAATATTCGTAGTATACTGCAGTATTCAAGATACGCACACATTTTTCCAGATTAATAATATTATTAAATAACGTTAAATCTTAATAGCCCTCATCAGTCGATCGTTCGTCAACCATCGTAATCGTTGTATTTTAGTCTAGTGTAGAAGGCGTAGAACGCATGTTGTATGACTTTAGTGCTTTCAAAGTAAAATAGTAAATCATAATTTTTCCACTATAATTTTACAATGGAAAAAGTTATTAGAGAGATTGGAGGTTCTAGAGGCGTAGGCCTTAAGTTTAAAGACGAAGATGGATACACGTACTGGAAAAATCGCCAATGTCGATTGCACTTTACAGTTCGTTGTGCATCCTGGAGAGCTGGGTAAATTTAATTACAATTAACTTTATGTTTTACTATACAAATAGGTACCAGCATTCAGTTGTCATTTATATTTAAATATTTCAATATTTAGAAGTCATAAATTCGATTTTAAAACTCATTGTCATCCTGGTGGGTAATTTAAATTTAAAATAAATATGTTATGCTGACCATTGATCTTGCTGTACCTATTTTAGATTCTGAGTGAAGCGATGAATATATTGATTTTACATAATGATGTGCAGGTTTTTATTTTTTTGTATTATTTGTGTCTGTGTACACAATTTATAAGTAGTCAAAATAATGCTACGATTTTCAACCACAGTATCTTGTTCGATGGGAATGTGAATCTAGTTGGGGCTTTGAGTAGGTCAACATTTAAGATTCCCAACCGTTTTCAAAATCAACGAGAAAAACAAACAAAAAATTAAGAAAAAACGGGAATTTTTACGCAAAATCGGTTCTCGACAAAATGTTGGTTTTTGGTGTAAATCTAAAACAAATTATCGTAGATACATTCAGTTTTTATTGATTGTTTATATTAGCATTTTCTATATATCATACATTTTTCAAAATATTTCGACTTGTTTTGAGCTGTTTACAGACAGTTTAAAATTTAAATTTGTTTAGTTTTTTTTTCTACAAATATCAATACAATTTCATTTGTTGGGCCAAAAAGCATGAAAATAATATAAGGCTCCTGATAATATATTATTACAATAGCAGTTAAAAAATATTAAAAATACGTAGGCACAATTTTTTTTCATAAGCATTTAAGTTCAAATTTTGACAACATTAATCAAATTTAAAAATTATAAAATGTTCAACTTTCATAGCTAGGGATTGAATTTTTAAAACTAGGAACCAAGTAAATAGTTTATAATTTATCAACTACTTTGTTATTTAACAATAATATCATTAAATATACTAAAGTACCTATATAATAACATAGGCCGACTGACCGTCTTCGCTCAAAGTCGTTTTTCTTATAGAATGATATAATATCATTGAATTCAAATTTAATACAATCCATTAGTGACTCACTTGTAACCTACTGTATAGCAGAGCAACACCCACTTACCAACCTTTTAAAAATATATTCTAAATGGCCGTGGCGCCGTGCTATTAAGTAGGTAATAGTCATTATTAGTACCTGTATGTTAATATTTTAAATATTATTTTTTTTTTAGTTGTCGTGCAAAAGGCAGAGTGTTAAACAATGACAAAACTAAGGTTATTCTTATTATATGCCATGAGACACATCCTGAGGATCAATTGGCACTGCATAATTTCAAAAAAATCTGTAACCAACGGGCACAGACTGAAAATATACCTCTTCGGGTCATTTACAATGAAGTAAGTGTTACATTAGCATACCAATATTAAACAGCAAGGAGCTTCATTGGAAAGTATTAAGAATTAAGATATATTTTTAAAGGTTCTCTATTTTCATATACAAGTTTTTGGTCTCCCGTAAATGTATAGGTAGGTATGAAATGTTGATAATATTATGATGAAGCACTCTTTTTAATTTAAGATGATGTAAGCTCACTGTTTTTTTTTCTATCTCTGGCCCACATGCGACATAAAGAAAACGCATTCACGTAAAATCATTTTTAATTTACATTATACATTTATACTATTATTAATTATATGCTTTGCCCGGGATCATTTTGTCAAAAGAAATGATTTATTATTAATTAAAAATACAGGTAACAACAGGTTGAGAAGAACCAAAAAGTTAAGACGACTAATTTTCTAATTTAATTTGAAAATGAGTGTAATTAAATATCTTTATAATTAATAAATATTTTTTTAATGGTATTATAGACATGCACTTCAGCAGAATTTATAAATGTTCACGTTGGTGCATTTGTGTCACATCGAAGGACGATGCGGAGGCATAGACGTCAGACCCAGCCAGTAAGTCCTAGGTCGATGACTGAGTTCCATGGTCAACTCAGTGGAGATTATACACACTTGACTAAACTTGATAATGCAACTTTGTATAATGGCCTAATCGGTAACACGCCACAGGAAGGAGTTATTTTACTATTTATTTTACCTGAAGTCATAAAGTAAATACAAAATATTGTTAATTTTAAATAAACAATAATACTAATAATATAATAAAATTGCAGCATACTTAGAACGGGTACGACATTTTTGTTTGATGGCACATTTGCAAGTGCACCATCATTTGGAAATGAGTGCCAACAGTTGTATGTAATAATGGGCATAACATTTAACACTGTAAGTTTAGTTTGCAAATATACAGGTACTAGGGACCTATTCAATAAGAAAATAGCTAAATTATTTAAATGTATTAAATATTTTTATCTTAGGGGTTTCCAATTGGGTTTGCATTAATGTCAAGGAAAACAGAATGTGCATACTCAGCACTGTTCAACAAAATCCTGACTTTAGTGCCGGAATGGAAACCACAAACCATTATCATTGATTTTGAAAGGGCAGCAATAGCGTCCATTAAATCAATATTTCCTAACACAGTAATACGAGGTTGTTGGTTTCATTCTTCGCAAGCTGTATGGAGAAAAGTTGGAAATATTGGTAAGCTATTATATTCACTGTATTTATCTGATGAGTATTCAAGTATCAGAGTATTGAGTATTCGGATGAGTACTCAGAAGTTATAATGATGGTATTATAATGTTGTTTTGAAAAGTTAAAACCCGCATCAATTTAAAACAGTGTTTTTGGTGTTTACAATTAAATGAATTAAAAAAAAAAAAATATATATTGATAGAAGATATTTGTAACAATACTAAATATACTTATATAAAATACTACATACAACTACAAAATGTTAAGAAGACTCTTGATCAATGATTTTTGGTAGTAAAACATACTTAAACGTCTTTGGCTGTAACATAATGTATAAAATACTATAAATGTATACCTATGTTATGTTATAAAGTTGTGGGGCTTGGGAATTAATATCCCTACAATTTATATATAAGCGCAATCTTATTAGTTTATTTTTTTTCTTATTATTATAATTATTCTTTAAATTTACATGTCACACTTTTACAACTAAAAGTTATGTTTTTTGTATTGCTTATATTAAACATTAAAAATTAGTGAGTGTGGTTGATATAATGACTTATAATAAACAATATAGATTTTGAGATCAATCATTAACACTCACCATGTTTATTGTTTAAATATGAATATAGGATTGACAGAATTATGCACAGATAATAGAGCGGCGTATGATATTGTCCATTTGTTGATGACATTGCCTCTTTTGCCACAAAACTTAATCATGGAGGGTTTTGAAAGCATTAAACGTATGCACCGTGAAAATGAGCTGTTAAGTTTAGGCGACAATGGAGGACAATTTAATCAACTTTTTGATTATTATCGGTCGACATGGCTACAAGGTATGTTTAGTCTGTACATATAAAAAAATCTACAGTTATATATTTAATAACACTAACTAAATATTATATTATTTTGTATGAATAATAGGAGTTAATGCAGATATGTTATCGGTGAATGACACAGTTTGGCGCACCAATAATGTACTGGAAGTCAGTCATCAACACTTACTTTTGCATATTGGGAAAACAGACACCACCCAGAACCGGGGATATTTCTGAGTAATAATAATGATTTATCATTAAATTTAATTAATTATTTATAATACTACATAGGTACCTATACATAATATAAGAAAAAAAAAGGGTAAGGTCAGTGGTAGTAGAAAGGCATTTTTCTCGTCGGATATGATACTTTTGCAGGATAAGTCACTGTTAGTGTTAGATGTGGCAAATATTTCAATAATACGATAATATGCTACACTAATTTGTGATTTACAAATTAAATGGATTAAATTCCAAAATTGCACTAATTTTATGTTTTGTATAATATGAGCATAATATGTGGACATTCAATCTTTTGTTAGGTATATTACCTATACACTATAAATTAAAACAAGGAGCATGTCGAATTATAAAATAAAATATTCAATTGAATTGATAATTATCTATAAATCATTTTACAGAAGGACTAATTACATACTCAAGAGGTATACTAATAGACTATACTGCGGTAACTGATGGTGAACAAATAAGAGAGCCGCAACGGCAGGTATGGATAGACAACCAAAGGCGTCTAGATTTGGCAATGAGACTGCTAAATGAAGGGCGGTATTCTATATTGGAGTTTCTTGTCTGTTCACGACATGCAACAGCAAATTTTGGTGTCTTACGACCTCAACCACTTCAAATTCAACCAGTGAATGACCCACAACCTCAACCACTTCATATAGAACCTGCGATTAATGTACCACGTCCTCCATCTCCAATTTTGTTTGAGTTACCGCCTCATCCATCACGGGAAGAAATTCTTGCAAGATTATTGTCTGCGCGGATACGACAACCTGTTCCTGCAAATCGTAAGAAATTAATAATTTTAAATGTGTGTGATTGAAAAAATAATAATAAAAATAAATTTTCTTGTTTTAGTTTTTGATGTATCATCTGATTCCGATGATAATGATGAAAATGTTATAGCTGTTATACCACGGGCTAACCAAATTGAAAACGAAGACTTTAATAGTAATTATTAATAATTTAAACTAATTTCAGCTATTAATTGATAATTATAATCTTAATTCATATATTTTATTATATCTAACTATATTTTGTAATGTAACTGCAGATATTAAGCTATAATAACTTTTGATTGAAAACTAAATAAATAAAAATTAGTTCCCCTAATCTATAATTCAGCGCAAATGCCATATTTGTTGTTCACATTTTAATAAACGTGTGTAATAATTAAAGTAATAATAGTTTTCGTTGTTTTAGTTTTAGAAAACTCTGATTCAAACGATGAGGAAAATGTGATGGCTAGGTCACAGGCTATTAGACCACATACAAATTGGATCCATGGTGAAGATCTGACTAGTAATTATTTATAATTTAAATTAATCTTAACTATTGATTGATAATTATAATCTTTTAATCTTTTAGTCACCCCAATAGTTGAGAGCCAGTGCTACATATGTATATTTTCGCCGCCAACAGTAATTGTTTTACCATGTATGCATCAAGGTCTATGTGAGCCTTGCTTCACAAGCTATTCTACAATGGCTCCATATAGCCGTCAACCCTATTACAGATGTCCACTGTGCAGAGGACAAGTTGAAAGCTATTTAGCTATACAATAATAGTAATATAGTATGATTGAAAACAATTGCATAAATATAATAATAATATATAATAAATTATTTTATTGTTATTTATTTTATATTTACATATCCTGAAAATCAAAAATTAAAATATTAAGTTTTGTGTTATTTTAGGGTAGCCAGATAAATGCATAGGTACATAATGATCCAAGTTCAGGACTTGCATTATTTGCTTATTTTTGAGATTGGTTTTATTGCAACAATTTTATAACTAAGCTTATATAATATTTTAATGTAATGTATAATGTGGGTATAATATTGTTTTAGACTAACACCTTATTAAATAATATCCCAAATAATGAATAAATGTAAACTAAAAACTGTAGTGTGTCTTATACACTAAAATCTTTATAGCTCAAAATATAAATATAAATTAAATAGTATAAAAGTATAAAACACATTTACCTCAGGTTTCTTACAGAGGTTATTTAATTCTTCTTCTAAAGACTCATGATTGGCCCATTACATATTTAGTGAACCATTTAATTAGTTACCATCGAGGTTGGGCAATATCAGAAATACAATCGCATCTTGCAAAGGTGGGCATTAACTAGTTTTTTACACAGTGTTAAACGTCTTTGGTAAATGTTTGTATAACAAAATGCACAAAAAAATGTTTTTTTTAACTGAGTTAAGTTAATTTTATTTTCTATCTTAACTTTAAACTTATCCATTTAAACATTTTTTGTTTGTTAACTTTTAACTTAACTGAAGGCAATTTAATTGGATTAACTTAACTTGCCACAGTTAATTATTTTCATTAACTTGCCCACCTTTGGCATCTTATTTTGTGATACATGTTATAATAATATCACCAATCTTATTTTATAATAATATCACCAATCTTATTTTGTGATACATTTCATAATAATATCACCAATCTTATTTTGCCAAAAGGAACAAGGTCCTTTTATTGCAAAAATGTGTATTGAATTGTATTCAAAATTACAAGTTATGGAAAATAAATCTCTTGATTAGCTGGACATCAAACTTAAAATAAATGTAACATATTTGTCTTTCTTATGACTCCTAAGAAAAATATAAAATGTATACTTGTTCTGTGTCAGTACCTAATAACTATGATAACTAATACCATTAAATAATATTAGTTAATAATTAATAAGTTGGAATAAAAGTTAAATATATATACTTTTTTAACATTTAAATATCAATTCTAATTTTAATGACACAGTTAGAGATATACTTGCAAGTTGCGACACATGTGAATCTCGATCAGTGCTTGGGAAGTTCCTTTCAAAAAGGACCTAGTTCACATCCAAATGTGTTCATATTGTTAAAAAGGAACTAAATCCTTTCTTGTTCCTGGCTTAAAGAAAGAAATTAGTTCCTTTCTTCGTTTTTGAAATAAATAACATTTTTTATTCTTTAATAATTTTAAAATGTTAACAATACATTTTTTAATAAGGTAGTTGTATTGTTTTTATAATGTTCAAATTGTTTATTTCAAGTAAGCTAATTTACAGGAACATTTAAACACACAATTTAATAAATAAAAGTTGAAAAGACACTATTTTAGTTTTCATGATAAAACGGTTATTATTTAGTAGTATTTACTAATTAATTTTAAATTTTGACATAGCACATTGCAATTACTCTTCAATTTTAAATACTTGATATAGACAATAGTTTAGTAATAAATCGACATTATTAAATGAATATTATCATAATATATGTAATATGATAGGTATTGACTAAATTGCTAAAGAAAAAATGATAAAAACTTAATAATAAAAAATATTTAAATTCCCTATATTTAAGAATAAATAACCTAACTTGAAGAATAAAATCATTCATATTCCTCTGAAAAAATCAATGAAATTCAAATATGTTACCTCAGACAAAAAAGTAACTTACTATACGCACCCATCGCATCCGTTTAGCTTAAGTTCTTGAAAATTGAACGATGTTATTGGAAGCGCGAATTCCTTTGAATGCGATCGTAATATTCAGTGTCTTTAGTAGGTATATTAGTATAATACTATAATGTAGTCTTATATAGAGTGTAAAGTTTACATTATAAACTTTATGAAGTAATAAATATAAGCCGCATAAAGCGTGTGCACGGGGAGTCATGCCAGTCAATAGCAGTCCTGTAAAGAATACTTTTGAAAAGTACTTGAGTAAGTACTCAAATACATTTTTTTTTAAGTATTTAAGATACTACTCAAATACTTTAATTGTATAGTATTTCAAATACTACTCAAATACTTTGAAAAAGTATTTGGAATACTTTTCAAATACTTTTGGTTTTTAAAGTGGGTTTCTAATTATTGTAATATAGACACATAGGTAGTAAATTTATAATCATTTTTATTTATTATTTATTAAATAAATGTTTATTAGGTACATTTTTTTTTTTTTTTTTTACATGAAATTTACAATCGGTTCTTAACTAGAACAATAAGCAAATGTGCATAGGGTATTTGCGTATGATTTTTTTTTCAGGGAAGAAACCAACCATTGGTGATACTACCTGTTTTGTGTTCTTAATCCATTCTAAAATTTCTAAAATTATTTCGAATAAAAATAAAATGTTCGAAATAAAAAACCAAAGTATTCAATACCAAAAAGTATTTAATACAAAAAAAAGTATTTAAAATACCATTCAAAATACTTCATGCTGAAAGTATTTAAAAAGTTATTCAATACTAAAAAAAGTATTTGAATACTTTTACTCAAATACTTTTACTCAAATACTTTACAGGACTGGTCAATAGTCATGGTAGTATGGTACTATACTACTATGGTAGGCACTTGACTACTCTGCGAACTCTCCCCCCCACAATATTCTTAATTATATTATTATCATTATAGTTGATCTTTTTATTTATAAAATACTTTTTTACCAAGGCAAATGTAGTCAAATGAGGTTGCCCCATGCAAATTAGTTTTTATAACTTATGCGTTAATATAAATACAATATATATATATATTAGTAGGTAGTATTATATAGGTCGACCTACCTATGTGTGTGACGTGTGTGTTATGTATGACTGTATGACTACTCTACCATAAATGCTTAGTGAGCATAAATGAGTATAAGGTCAATGGTTGCTAATCCTTATAAAAAGCTTACAAATTTCAAGTCCCTATAAATTGTAATTATTATTTATTTTTATAAATATTTGAAATTTTCATGATTTTATCTGGTAATTTAGATCCCGAGACAACTAGGTCTCCTATGGACTATGGTCAACTAGTTCCTCGTGGTTATTTAGATCCCCTGTTAACTAGATCCCGTTCGTGTCATTTAGATCTTGAGGATCTAGTCAACCGGGGATCTAGGTGGCCGTTCACCAACGATGACCAATAATAATTTACGGTGAAGAACGCCGAAAATCCCCATTTTTATTCATATGACATATTATATCATTATTATTCGTTTATGCACGGGCACTGAGTACTGACAGAACTACAGAAGTCGGAAAGTGCAGTGTATTTAAAATACTCGATTTCGGTTAATCATAATTTATTATTCATTTTATACCTATTGATGTATTGTTATTTTTTTTATTTTATTATTTCAATTTTCAATAATAACAATATTACGCACGCCGTTAATAAGGTTAGGTACAAACGTTGGCACTAACGTCACACGGGCACCGATTTTTGTTTCGTTGTCGTCATTCGTGGTCGCGTGGTCACTGCCGTCACTTCACTTTTGACTCATCGGTTACTCAGTTCGCGGTTTAACGTTTTTCATTCGTCAACGTTTTTTGTCGATTGCCGTATTATACTCGGCACTCGCGTCTCGCACCGCCATCAGCCAAATCCGCCATCGACGTCACGCTAACGGCTAACTGGAACCTCTGCTCCTATTTTTTTTTTTTTATACGCCCTACTTCGACACGGCTGCCGTGACATACCACTACCGCCCGGAACGCGACCATAGGTGAGAGTTTTGACAAAATTCGTCTAAATCATAAACATTTGCGAATTATATTAAATTTGCGTGTAGGTAAACGTGTCGTATGCTATATACCGGCATATGTAATGTGCAAAAAATGACTGCTTGTCTCGTACCAATGCTGTCGAGTGTCGACGTATAAAAATATATTCTTTACAAATGTGTCCTTTATGTCTCTTAAAAAACTTACTTTACATGTCTCCAAAAATACTAAATTGTTTGTGATTGGTGCTCGCCTGTATAGATTTATGAATTTTGGTATGGTTGTGAAGAAAATTGTAGATTGAACCAAATTGTATAAAAATTACCTCCCCCCCCCCCAACCTGAATTTTGTAATTTTTTTATTGCGCTGATAAGTATAGTGCTGAATTCCTGACCAGCTTTGTAAATTTCATGCTTACCCATTTACCCAGAAAGTAGAACAATGTGGTAGATAGTTTAGACACCTCACCCTAACCATATCCGGGGAAACTTTGACTTTCTAGGAAAATAGGCAGAGCAGGAATTATAAAAAGGAATTCATAATGTCAATGCTAGAATATATTCTAGTGTCAACTGTCTAGTCTTCATAAGTAATGAGTATAACCGTCTCTTGTGTCATTAAAATATATTATTATCGTTTATAATAAAAACAACAAAATACAATATGCTCAACATTGAACATACAGTACAAGTCCATTGAATAAATTTTGATATAATCAACTTATTATGACTTACATAGGTACAATTTACATTCTTACCTCACAACTTCTGACTTCATTTATCCGAGTTGTCCCTACCAATATCGATTAGGCATTTTGTATATTAGCCCATATTTCAATACCATACCTTTGTCTAGAACTCGCTTATTGATTTGAATTCAACTGCAGCAAGTAAGAAAATAGGTACATACCTATTCTATATACTTATTTTAATTCAATAATATTTTAATAAATCTGACTAATAATTTAATAATTTCTTAACGTCAGTATTTTGTTGGTTTTTACCCTGCCTAAACACTAAAGCACTTAAATTTAGTATTAAGTTTTAACACAATGATGATAATTAAAA